ATAGATGCTACTTATCATTATAAGGAAAGCTTCATTTATTCCTATGCTTTCAAGTATTTTTTAAAAATAGAAATGGGTATTGTATTTTGTCAAAAGCCTTTTTTGTATCTATTTAGATAATTAAATGATTTTTGTTTTCTTTTGTTATTAATATGGTCAATTATGTTCATAGTTTTCTTAATATTGAACCAACCTTGCATTCCTGGTATAAATCCAATGTGGTTATATTGTATGATCTTTATTATGTATTCCTGTGATCTCCTTGATAATATTTTATTTAAAAATTTTACATCAACATTAATTAGAGAAATTGATCTAAAGGTTTCTCTGCCCTCCTCTGTTTTGACTCTCCCTGGTTTAGGAATCAAAACCATATTTATGTCATAGAAGGAATTTGGTAGGATCCCTTCTTTACCTATTTTTAAAAATAGTTTGTATAGTAATAGAATTAATTGTTTTTTAAATGTTTCATAGAATTTTCTTCTAAATCCATCTGGTCCTCAGGTTTTTTTCTATGTGAGTTCATTTATGGCTTGTTCAATTTCTTTTTCTAAGATAGGTTGATTTAAGTGTTCTATTTCCTGTTTATCTGGACAATTCATATTTTTGTAAATATTTTTCCTTTCCATTTAGATTGTTGGTTTTATTGGCTAATATCTGGGCAAAATAACTCTTAATAATTTTTTATTTCTTCTTCATTGTTATGAAGTCACCTTTTTTCATTTTTGATACTTATAATTTGCTTTTCTTCTTTCTCTTAATCAAATTAGCCAGTGATTTATCTATTTTGTTGTTCTTTCTTCATAAACCCAGCTCCTAGGTTTTAAAAATTTGTTTATTTTTAGTTTTCAACATTCACTTCCATAAGATTTTTGTTCCAAATTTTCTTCCCATCTCTCCCTTCCCCCCACCCCAAGACAGCATGCAATTTGATATAGGCTCTACATGTACATTCATATTAAACCTATTTTCACATTCGTCATGTTGTAAAGAAGAATTGGAACCAATGAGAGAAACCACAAGAAAGAAGAAACAAAAAAGGAAAAAAAAAGAGAGCAAATAATATGCTTCGATCTGCATTCAGACTCCATAGTTCTTTTTCTGGGTGTGGACAGCATTTTCCGTAATGAGTTTTTTGAAGTTACCTTAGATTCTTGCATGGCTAAGAAGAGATAAGTCTATCAAAGTTAGTCATCACACAATGTGGCTGTTACTGTGTACAGCGTTCTCCTGGTTCTGCTCACTTCACTCAGCATCAGTTTATAGGTTTTTCTGAAGTATTCCTGCTCAATCATTTCTTATACCACAATAGTATTCCATTACATTCATATACCACAACTTGTTCAGTCATTCTCCAACTGATGGGCATCCCCTCAATTTCCAATTCTTTGCCACCACAAAAAGAGCTGCTATAAACATTTTTGTATGTGTGGGTCCTTTTCCCATTTGTATAATCTCTTTGGGATACAGACCTGGAAGTGGTATTTCTAGGTCAAGAGGTATGCACGTTTTTTAGCCCTTTGGGTATGGTTCAAAATTGCTTTCCAGAAGGGTTGAATCAGTTCACAACTCCACCAACAATGCATTAGTGCTCCAATTTTCCCACATCTTCTCCAGCATTTATTATTTTCATGTTTTGTCATGTTAGCCAATCTGTGATGTGATGCCTCAGAGTTGTTTTGATTTGTATTTCTCTAATCAATAGTGATTTAGAGCATTTTTTCATATGACTATAGATGGCTTTAATTTTTTCATCTGAGAACTGCCTGTTCATATCTTTTGACCATTTATCAATTGGGAAATGACTTGCATTCTTATAAATTTGACTCAGTTCTCTATATATTTTAGAAGTGAGGCTTTTATCAGAGACACTGTTGGTAAAAATCCTTTCCCACTGGCTCCTAGTTTTAGTCTCTCCTTTGATTTTTCAAGACTTCTATTTTGATGTCTGATTGTTATTTTTAAAATTTTTTGGCTTTCTAGTGTTTTTAGTTGCATGCACTAAATTGATTTGTTCTTTTTCACTTCTGTTGATGTAAGCATTTAGAGCTATAAATATTCCCGTAAGTACTACTTTGGCTGCATCCCACAGATTTTGGTATGTTATCTCATTGCTATTATCTTTAGTGAAATTATTGATTGTTTTATGATTTGTTTTTTGACCTACCCCTTCTTTAGGAGAAATTATTTAGTTTACAATTAATTTTTATCCTTTGCTTCAATGGCCCTTTATTAAATGTAATATGTATTATATTATATTTCTGCTTTCTAAAATTTGTTTATGAGGTTTTTATGCCCTAATATATATTAATTTTTTTGACTGATGCACAGTAGAGAAGTAGGTATAATCCTTTCAATTTCCATTTAATATTCTCCAGATATCTAGCATATCAAACTTTTCTAAAATTCTATTCAGTTCCTTGACTTTTTTATTTTTCATTTGATTTATCTAGGTCTGAAAGGGGTTAATTGAGGTCCATCACTGTTATGAACAAAATGTCATTTCCCTGGTTATCTCTTTTAATTGGGTGTATTTTTGTTTTTGCTTTGTCTGACATTATGGTTGTTATTCTGCTCTTTTTTTTTAACTTCAGCTGAATTGTAATAGATTCTGCTCCAGCCCTTTATTTCAACTCTGTATTTTTTTCTGTTTCAAGTAAGTTTATTGTAAACAATATATTCTTGAATTCTAGTTTCTAATCCATTCTTCCCTCTTCCACTTTGTGGGTGAGTTCATCCTATTTACATTTACAGTTATTATTCTTACCTGTGTATATCCTTTTATCCTATTCTCATATACTTATCCTTTTTTTTCTCAGTGCCTCCTTTTTGAGTCTCTTTTGCTTTTAACTAATGCCTCTCTTAATCTGCCCTCCTTTTCCCTTAACCCCTTTCTTTACTATTTATATTTTGAGTAAGACACATTTTTGTAACCAACCTTGTATATATGTATTCTTCCATCCTTTAACCAGTTTAGATAAGAGTGAGGTTTAAGTCTTGTCTCTTCCCTCCCTTTTCTTGCCCCTTCCATTGTATAAACTACTTTTTTTGCTCACCACATTTATGTAAGATAATTTCCCCCATTTTTCCTCTCCTTTCTCCCCACTGTTAGTGCATTCCTCTTCCTCACCTATGCCATTTTTTTTGAGATCATCCAACCACAGCAGAATTACACCCAAGCCTTCTGTCTAATTAGACTCCATCTATAACTCCTGGTGATGAGGGCTATATTTATCATATCCCCATATAAGAATATAAGCAATTTAGCCTTTATTCAGTCTCTTATGATTTCTCATTCATATTTACCTTTTTATGCTTCTCTTGACTGCTGTGTGTTTTTCATATTTTCTATTCAGCTCTGGTCTTTTCATCAGGAATGCTTGGAGGTTTTCTATTTCATTAAAGATCCACTTTTTTCCCTTGTAGGATTATATTCAGTTTTGCTACATGGGTTATTCTTGGTTGTAAGCCTAGATCCTTCCTTCTGGAGGGTCATATTTCAAGCTCTGTTCTCCTTTATGATTTGCTCATTCTTTCAGTCTACTTCTTGACTTTGAAATTTGTGGTAATGCTGGGCTCTAAATATTTTGGGGGTTGGGGATATTTGGTCAGCTTCTGCCCTCTTAATGTCATTTTGCTCTTTCATAAGTCTGGCTAGGCACCTGCAAGCTTTCAGTGCTCTCAGAGTGGTGTAATGGAGGAGGAAGTCTGTTCACTACTCTTCTGACCGAGGTTTAGGTCTATCAAGTTGTTTCTGGTTTGTGTCAGCAGATTGCTGCTTGATTTAGCCACTGCTGGCCCTCTGGGAGACTCTACAGGTTCAGAGCAACTAAACTGCTGTCTTCTCTTTAGTCTTGGACACTGCACTCTGCTCCTAACATCAGTATACCATAGCTATCATTTGCTTCCTATAACTTGTTCAATGCTCAGTATATAACGAGGGGCAACATCCACAACCACTTTTCTTCCCTCTGAATCTGTGACATAACACTGGATGGTGGGCCACAGAGCTGTCAGATGGCACACATTCCTGTACTGAGCCTTTGCTCTGGGATCTCCTGGGGGGTCTTTTTGGTGCCCTGTCTCAGGGATCTCTCAGTGCCTGGGTGCTACAATGCTTCCCACCACAGCTACTGCACACACTCCTGCCAGCTCTCTTCCCCAGTATCTACAGTCTTCTCTGTTTCTCTGAGTTGACTTGGGCTGGAAAAAATGTTGTTACTTCTTAGCTTTCCTTATCAGAATTCAGTCTCAAGCATTCTCTAGATCTTGGTTGAAGAGGTGTAGGGAGAGAGCTAGACTCTAATGTTTCCTCTCACTTTGTTATCTTGACTCCACCCTGAATTACTCTCTACAAACAAATCTGCTAAAAGGTCCTAGAGCCTAGCACAGTGTCTAGCACGTAGTAGGTTTAATAAACACATATTGATAGATAGTGACCAGTCTTAAAACTAGCTTTAACTTAAAACTAGCATTAATAGGCACTAGTTTTTCCTTTTTAAATCTTCTCATCACTCACTACCTTCACATGCTCCTAATTACATCTATTTCACCACTGTCCTTAGCCATCATGCTTTTCATCTTGCTGCCATGTACTCTGTCATACCTCTAGCCGTGGTATTGATAAGAATAGGAGTGGATCTGATAGTCTTGTCTTAATGCCAAAGGTTATTTTTAGCATTTGGAGTTGGAGAATTATCCCAAAATACCCCAATGAAAGTTATTCACCAAATAGTTATTGAGTGTTTACTGCATGTCCAAAGACATAGAATATCTGGTCACTTCCCTCAAGGAAAAAGACGACACAGAAATGGCAAGTCTTACCAAGGCATGTTTATTAAGTACCAAAAGAAAGGATACAAAGTCTAAGGGCCAAGGGATTTCAGAGGAAGGTGATATCAATGATGGTTGGGATGAAATGGGAAAAGATTCGTACAAAGGATATATTTTACTTCATTTGTCCTCTGTGTTTGTGTGACTTTTGTGTATTTCTTTCTCAGTTTTTGAGGGAAGATCTCAACTACCATGACCCAACAGTGAAGCACAGCACATTCCATGGGGAGGATAAGCTCATCAGTGTGGAGGACCTATGGAAGGCATGGAAGGCTTCAGAAGGTAAACCATTGGCCTATCAGAACAGTACAGGGGAAGAGGGACCTGCCTTTTTGTCCCAAAGTGAATGACCCTTAGAAAAGGTAAACTCATGAAGAGAACTCAGAGACTAAATGCAAAAGGGGAGGAGACATGAAGACATCTTTGAAGGTAGTATTATAATGTACCCAAATGAATGCAAATATATTGTAGCTCATATTTATAAAATACTTTAAAGTTTACAAAATAATCTCCTCACAATACATTCATGAAAGAAATAGTAAAAAAAATTATTATTTTCTTTTTACAAATTAGAAAATAGAAGCTAAGAAAAGTAAAGTGACTTATCCAAGATGAAACAGTAAAGATCACAGTCAGGATTTGAATTTAGGTTTCCTAACTCCTAGTCTAAGGCTCTTTTTATTGCTCTTTGAATGCATACAGACAATTGTGCTTAGAGAACAATTTACTGCAGAAGTTATAAATATAAGACACACTCTCTGCCCTCATGGCACTCATAGTCTTGTAAAAGGGCATGATAAATAACTATAATGTAATAAGTCATGATGGTTGTATAAGTGGTACAAACAGGTGACTTGTGAGGATAGGGGAAGGGAGATCATTTCTGAGCAGGAGGTGGGTGGACCAGGAAAGGCACCCTGTTGGACATGACATTAGAATGGTGCTACAGAGTACAGATAAGATTTTACTAGTCAGAGATTGGGGAAGGGACATTTCATTGGTAAGGAATGGTGTGAAGAAATGTAGAAGAAATGAAATGCAGATGTATATGGCAGCTAGTGAAGGGACCAACTTAGAAGTAGTGCAGGATACTTAAAGAGGATATAAGCTACAATAAGAATGGAGAGATAAACTGGAATTTAATGGTGGAGGGACTTGAATCCTTCACTACCAAGAGAAGTTTGTTTTCAAATCCTGAAGGATCATTGAAGGTTTCTGGAGGATGAATTTAGGGTTGTACTTTTTTTTTCTTTTTTGGTGAGGTGATTGGGGTTAAGTGACTTGCCCAAGGTCACACAGCTAGTAAGTGTTAAGTGAGGCTGGATTTGAACTCAAGTCCTCCTGACTGCAATGCCACAGCTCTATTCACTGTGCCACCTAGCTGCCACAAAGGGTTATACTTGTAAACTTCTTTTCCCTGCTTACCTTATTGTTGGATCTTTGGCAGAGGTTCAGGTTTCCTGAAAGAGGTCTTCAAGAGAATGAGAGCATGAATTCTATTAGTTCTGCCTGGTTCTGGCTTCTCTTTCCCAAGCTTTCCTGTTTTATATTAGGTTCTCTACTAATGGCAGGATGACCACTTCCCATGACCAAGGAAGAATGATGATGCTTAGAAGGTTTGGGCTTGAGAAACCCAAAAAGAAATGATTTCCAAACTATTATGGTTCAGTATTGAAGACAGAATCTCAATATCCTTGATAGTCATAGAGCTTCAAACCTGGAAGGGGCCACAAATCTCATCAATTCTAATTTCCTCAATTTGCTGATATTAAGGCCTAGAGAAGGAAAGCGACTGGCTCAAGGTGTTTCAGAAAGAGAATGTGTAGTATTCTCATGGAGTTTATATTTCTTTAATTAATGTTCACATATCCTTGGCTTCTCCTTTAATTTTCCCACCATTGTCCAGGGATGAAAAAGGTAAAGTCTTGGTGAAGATTGGGATATAATGTCACAATTTTCAAAAAAGGGAAAGAAGTAGAGTCTACATATGCTAGGCTAGTGAGTTTGACTTAATTTCTTGTCAGAGTTCTGTAACATATTATTAAAGGGATGGTTTCTTAATATCTAGAAAAGGAAGTAGTTATTATTAAGAACTATCATAGCCTCATTAAGAACAAAGCAAAAGCATTTCCTTTTTTAAAAACAGAGTTATTAGACTGTTAGACTAGAGAAATGCTGTAGATGTAACATTACCCAAATAGAACAAATCATAACAGACTCTTATGCTATCTTTTTGAACAAGGTAGGTGGTGACTACATGACAGCATGTGTAGTTGTGTGGATATATGTACTACATCACAGAACTTTTGTGGAGAACATGCTTTTTAAACCTGTTGTTGTTAGAAAGGGCTGATGAAATGTGTTCATTGGAACACTGCACTGTTGGAGTTGCTGGAAACTGAAGAAAATTATTCCTGACCTTCGGTCTGGTAGAGGTTTTGGAAAGCTTTGTCTGGCCTTGTCACTTTTTGGTTTTACTGGCCTTCCCCTGCGAGGTGGGTATCCACAAGGGACCTGTTCTCTAGTTCCCTTGTTAGGGATCAGGAAACCACTCTGGGCAGGTCACTCCTGCCCACTCATCTACCCACCTATCTCTGCAAGTGCTATAGTTTGGTGATTGGGGAAGTTTGCCAGACAAGAAGGAACTTTTCATCTGCTTGGGTGCTAATAGTTTGAAAGTGGAAAAAACCAGTGGCTACCTAAGGCAAGAATTCTTTGGGGTTTAGTTCAACTAGCTTTTCCTTTTCCTTATTTCCTTAGGACTTCTTGGGGGCAAAGCAAACCCCGTGCTTTTGTGGTATCTAAACTGCCATTGATTGTGCCAAGCCCCTTCCCAATATTCCCCCAACCCAGGATCAGCCTCTAGAAAGAATAAGACTAAGAAAATTTCCTCATTGTGTTTAAGTACTTTATGTTATCAAAACCACACAATTTCTACTGTCTTTAAATCAGAGCTTGGGAAGTGGGGAGTGGATAGGGAGAGGTGAAGTTCAAGGAGAAAGAGCTCTGATCTTGGAATTAAGAGATGTAAATTTGAATCTTGGTTCTGCCTTGATTCATCATATGACTATGGATGAGTCCTTTCCCTTCTGGACTTTTTCTTTCTTCTTTGTAAAATGATGGGGTTAATTAGAGACTAGATGGTCTCTAAGGTCTCAACTTCCTAACACTTAGGGTTGTTGAGAAGTGCAAATGACTACCATAGATTAGGATTAGTTCTTTCCCTTCTCTGGACCTTAATATTCTCCTTTGTAAAATGAGGTTAATTAGAGATAAAATGGCCTTTAAGGTGTTAACTTCCTTATAAGTAGTGCTATTGAAAAGTGGAAATGTCTACCATGGGAGATAGTGAATTCATCCTCACTTAGGGTCTTAGAGTGAAGACACCTGTCAAGTATGTTTTAGAGAGATTCATGGATTGTACCAGCTGGCCTCTCAGATCCTTTCCAATTCTGAGATTCTGTGATCCATATTTAGCTTTTCAGTAGATTCTTGACTGTCATTTGAAGGAAGCAGAGTAGCGACTTCTTTGATAAATAAGGAAATCAAGGTAAGTAATTTACCCAAGGTCATATACCTAGTTACTAAGAGTTTGTTAGTATCTTATCTTGTGCTTCATGAGGAAAGTGACTCTGTCTTACATCTCTCTTAATGGTGAAAAAGTGCTTTGCATTTAGTATGCACTTCATAAATGTTTGCTGAGTGAATAACTCTTGGTCCATGGGTCCTGTGGTGCAGTCATTTCTGTGGCATCTTGCAGCCTTGAAATTGTACAAGTAATTTAATTCCTTTGGTTTCCCATATGAAAAATGAAGATGATAAACCTTGTAGTACTTACAAATGTAGTGATGAAAAAGTATTTTGTAAGGCTTAAAGCATTAAGGAAATGTGAGTTATTATTATTATTAGGTTGGTGGTCTAACAACTCCCTCCTTAGTGCTTAGACCCAGGGCCTCTGTGTCCAAGGAAATAGCCTTCCAGGCTAACAGTCCTATAACCTCCTAGACAAAGTCAGGGTGAAGAGGATAAAGTGTATAGAAAAAGACAGATTTTTCTGAGTTTTCTCGCTTGAGGAAAGCCATAGCCACACACTTTCAATGACTTCCCATGTTTTAATAGGAACTAGGCCCCCTGACGTTCCTCAGTGACTTGGCAAGGCTGAGTGTGGGGGAAGAAATAACTTCTGTCACTGGTATTAACAACTGAGGCTCACGTATATACATCCAGTCAGTCCATAAACTTTCCTATATCACTAAGGCATAGGATAGGCCTGCCTTTTTTTTTCTTCCATAAACCTTTCTGCCTCTCCCAGATGCTGCCTTAATGATAGCAGAACCCCAGGTCTATATAACATTTTGGGGGCAGATAGGTTGCACAGTGGATAGATTGCTGGGCCTAGAATTAGGAAGACTAGAGTTCAAATCTATTCTCAGACGTTTAGTAGCTGTGTGACCCTAGGTGAGTCACTTGACTTCTGTCTGTGTTAGTTTCCTCAACTTTCAAATGGATATAATAGCACCTATCTTGGACGGTTGTTAAGAGAATCAAAGGAGATAATATTTATAAATCACTTAGCATAGTGCCTGGTACATAGTAGGTATTTAATAAATGTTCCTTTTCCTGTGGTGTATGATATTTTTAAGGCTTATATCCCCTGCCTTTACCTGTTGGACACCCAACTGAGGGAGAGAGTTTTTCAGGTGCCAGCCAACAAGATATACTACTTGTGCACTTGTGTATTAAATGAAAGGATGGTCGGGGGTAGGGGGGTGGGGGGAGCATTTGGACTTGGCAACTAAGGCAGTCTCAATAGTGAGGAAGGGAACAGAATGGGCTGATCTGTTGGGGAAGTAGAGGAGCTTCTCTTGCTTTTAGGCTCCCTCCCTTCATTCCCCTCCTCCCAATACCTTATTTTCCTTTTCTGTCACAGAATTGCTATTCTTGATGGTGAGGGTTGTGTTGCTCACTCATTCCTGATTTCTTCCGAGACACTAAAAGGGGAAATATGATGCCCCTTAATTTGAGTCCCAACTCTGTTACTTTTTAACTTTATGATCGTAGGCACAGTTTTCTTTGCCCCCCCCTTCCCCCTCCTTGGGCCTTAGTTTCCTTTTCCATAATATGAAGGGTGTGTGTGTGTATGTGTGTGTGTGTGTGTGTGTGTGTGTGTGTGTGTGTGTGAATTCCTTTCTAATTTTAACATTCTGTGATAAGTTTAAATCTACTTCTATTCCCATACCTGTCAAGAAATGGGAAGCCTTTAGACTGGCTAAGATGAGGCA